CCGAAAACGTTTACACCTCACACTCTGTTTTTTAGCTCACCGAAAATTTTACAATTACTCATAATATAAACACACTAACTATCACATCAAGTGTTGGTCTCTAACCCGTATCTCCCTCAAGTGTTAGGAATTACAACCTCTCTCTAGACATTACCACCTACCCCATTCTTCTTGGGACGACCCCGTCTCTCACCACACACTCTTCTTGGTGTACTAGTGTAATACAAGGTGAACTTCACAATTAGGCACTCTAATACATTTTACACAATTGCAAATACACTGCACACCCTCTAAGTGTTGGCCTAGCTCGTGTCACCTGTCACCTTCCTCAAGTGTTTGGAATTATCACCTCTCACTAGGCTTTACTATCGATCCACTCCTCTTGGAACCGACCCCGTCTCTCACCAACCACTTCTCTCGGTGTCCAAATGTAATACAATGTGCAACTCACAATGAAGCTCGATACAACAAAATGTTCTCTAATATGGATGAGAACTCAATGTAAGCTTACTCTCAATTGTTACAACTCCTCACAATCCAAATATACTAAGTATGAAAATACAATAAGCTCAATGGTTGTGTGTGTAAACAATGAGAAAACAAATATAAACTCAATGTAAATCTAGCTTATGAAATTATGCTCAAACGTATAAAATAGCTAGGATTGAGTTTAAGAAAAACTTCTCTATAGATCAAGAGAGAGAGGGAGAAGAGTTGAATACTCAAACACCAATGGATGTTCTTCCTCAAGCTCTTGTGAAATTATCTTCACAAACAAACTCTTAAAAACACACTTAAACCCTTAAACAAAACTTGTAAAGCTCTTTAAAGCTTTTCTCTTGTGTAAATAGAATTGAGGATATGTGGGGGTATTTATAGGAACCCTAAAGCCAAGAGAAAACAAGGCAAAAAGATCAAAAATCAAAACTGGAACATGCTGGAAAAAAACTAGCTGTTACAGCATCAGTCGACTAATGAGCTGACCGTTAGAGGTATTTTCTAGCTCATTAGTCATCTGACGATCTTATCAGTCAACTGATGATCTCATCAGTCGACTAGTCAGTCGACCAAAACAAAACAGAAACTTTTGTTATTCTAGGCGTTTTCTTCAGTCGACTGAACACATTCATCAATCGACTGATAACACTGTATCAGCCTGATTTGAATAGTAAAACTGATTTTTGAAATACCTTTAAAAATAGCAAATAAATTTTAAAAAATATAAAACTTTGAAAAATGATTGTAGACATGATAATACACATGTTACAAAAACTGGTTTTTAAAAATCACCTCCTATTTGTAAAATATCATCATTTTGCAAAAATATCCAAAAACATGAAACTAAACATACATGTTTTTAACATATTGATTTAAACAAACTTTTGAAACTTTGTAAACTGATTTTATAGACTTAATAAAATATGTATAAACTGATATTGAAGTCTATAAACTAATAAAATAATATTTTCATAAAAACACCTATATTTTGATAAAATCAACAAATACGTGTGTGTAATTTATATGAGCTTAAAGTATTAACACACAAGTATAAACCTATACTACAAACACTATAAACTATATACCCAAGCTTGAAGGTCTTCAATATAGTTTGACTTGGTAAACTTGCGGATGAAGCTTGAACTTGGATCTTCAACTTGAATTGCATGACTTCACTCCACTATTCCGCCAACCTTCATTGGATATTATCGTTATGGCGCAATTGCATCCATCCTCCAACTTATTGTTTGTCTAGAATAAATACAAAACATAAACACTAGACAAACAACATTAGTTGTAAATTGTTTGTTAATCATCATCAAAACAAAAGGACCCAACACGAATATCTAGACGAATAATAACCGAACTGTTTATTAATTATTTGGTTCACTTCCACCCCTATTGGTGTGTACCATGTGATGTCGTGGAGATTAGAATTTAGAAGTGGTATAGAAAAAAATTCCTTCTATAGCAGCTGAAGACTCTCATCTGGGTCTTCTCTTATTTGTTAAATCCACTTATTCAGTCTGCAGACGTGCTATAAAAATTATTGGAGCTATGAAGTGATGGTAACAAGGATAATGTACACAATTATTTTCTTATAATTCTGGTACAACATTGCCTATGATACTAAATGATATTTGTTCAAACTTCCATTCTGGTCAGTATATATTGTTTTTTCGTCGGTGCCAATTGGAAATCAAGTTGAAAAATCGACACCGATATACGTGTTGGAGAACCTACAGTTTTAAATGAAGTTTTGTGTTTTATTGTCAATTCTTTGTGATGTAGCTTTAAATTCAAATTTAAGTAAGTACTCGTAGTCTATCTCATGATTTAAGCAAGCAGTGGGTGAAATCAGCCTATTTCTGACATTGACTGGCCCAACCCATCTCATGTTGGCATCTCCCAAATTCCACCAAAAGGTCCTTTGGGCTGAATTTTGGTTTAGGACGGCCAGATCTTTGGTTGAACGAGCTTAGAGCATGTTTGGTAAGTGGTCAAAGCTGCTTGTTAGTCACTTTTGCGGCTTACAAGCCACTTTTGTTGAAAGAGCTTAGAGCATGTTTGGCAAGTGGTCAAAGCTGCATATAAGCCACTTTTGTGGCTTATAAGCCACTTTAATATGTTTGGCAAATTGCTTATTTTAGCTTATAAGCCACCAAAACATAATCTGGGCACCTTAGCTTACTTTTTGGTGGCTTATAACCAATGAGGTTTGGCCAAGTGAGAGTCTAATATACCGCTCACATCTCAAAAGATTCCAATTCCCATTTGTCTCTTTCAAATCCCATTAATGTTTTTTGGTCATTTTGACAATAATGATGACTTATAAGCTACCCATTTGCCAAACACTCTAATATTAAAAATGGACTATAGTCCACTAATTTTACCAAACTTGCTCTTAAACATCACAGTCAAATGAAGTAGACTTCAGTTCTTTTACAGTCATATTGGACGAATATGACTATATCTTCATAGAAAACCTCTCTCTTGTCCATAGCATTAGCGTAGGAATTTCGTACCCACGCAGGGCATGTACGTTGCATTTGTAGTTAGTTGTAAAAATTCTCGACATATCTACAGATCTTCTCAGTATGGGGTCTATTCTTAGTCAAGGACTCAAGGTAGTAGTTTGAGATGGCAATGATTCCTGGTTACCTGATAAAACCAGTCTGGATGTGGCCTGAGTTTTTGTGTTTAGTCCTTTAATCTGTCATGTAGTTGTGGATCCGATGATTGGGTTTGTTTTTTTATAGTGAATTTGGATATGGAAAACTAATGGTCAAATTCAATAACCAAATATGTACAAAAATATGTGTCTATGTGTGTGTGTGTAGGTGCTACGTGCGTGTGTTGTTTGTGCAAGTGTGAGTGCGCAAGTGGATGTGCTTGCACGAGTGTGAAAGAGAGCAGTAGCAGATTTAGGATTGCTTAAAGTTGGTGTCAATACGTAACTAATAATTAGAAAAACTTTTACAATTACCCCCGATGGTTTCATATTTTGAAGAAGAGTACATACTACATAATTGCATCATTAGTATAATGTCAAATACATCTTTCTCAATTTATGTCATTTATAACAATTCTGATTGTGAACTTAAATTGTAAGGTGATTTTTAGTGGATAACTTTCAAAACTCGTTACGCCTGATGTTTTTCATATTTTGAAGAAGAGTACATACTACATAATTGCATTATTAATATAATGTCAAATACATCTTTCACAATTTATGTCATTTATAACAGTTCTGATTGTGAACTTAAATTGAAAGGTGATTTTTAGTGGATAAATTTCAGAACTCGCAACCCCCCTTCCCCCTCCTAAGTTCGACTATTTCTTTGATAACCATTTAACTTCCAAACTATCAGAGATCCTCTTAAGTTTTGTTGTTCTCAAACAGCCTCGCTTCAACTTTCAAGTTTCAACATCTTTCGAAAAAAAACCTAAAAATGTTAACTGCAATTTTTACATGGATAGGTAAAATTATGCAAATCGATATTTTTGCCAACCTAAAATTAGGGTGTTCTTGAAACTCACTGAAAGTTGAAGGAGATTATCTGAGAATCTCAAAGCTTAAAATGGGTTCTGTGAAATCTTCCATTTTTTCTTTGTTGAGTGGAATCATCCTTAGGATGGGAAGTCTCGGAAACTTAAATGGATCTCATGGGTTTATAACTGGGGTCACTTATTTGTTTCATTAGTAGCATGAGTTGCTTGGACTGGTGGGTTTTAAACTTTTAAGTGGGGAGTGGTTCTTCTCCTTGACCAAAGTGGGGTCACGTGACCCCACTTTGATCTAGGTAGATCCACCCTGAAAGAGAGTGTGTATGTCTGCATACATGCATACATATATCCACACATGCACCACATAGATCATAGACACATACATTAACGCAGGCATGCACATAGAGACACACTTCGCATGACATGCATATGTGCATGCGTATATGTACATAAATTTACACTAGTGCTTGTGAATTAGATTAATCAATACAATAATATCATTCATCTCCATCCTGAGCCATTTATTTCCTTGCTATTATTATTTAATGTACAATCATGAGTTGGTATTGTTTACTGTTTAAGAATAATACTAGAGGAAAACTAACTTTTTTTATTTGATTCATAAAAAGAGTTGGTGTATTCCTGTTAGAAACCGTATAAATTATTGGAAGTAGGCCCTGGTAATGGTAGTTGCCTATTTGGGCTTCTAGATTGGTTTTTAACCTTAAAATAGACCCTGCATAACTAAATTGGATCTTTAAGCAAATCTTGTAGAACCCATTATTGGTTTGGTTGTAAGAATCAAGTTTGTTGCTGAAACAAATACAAGACTTGTCTGTGTTGAACTATCACATTAAGCAGAATTTTTGTTGCACTTGCTATAAACTTTATACTTTACGAAAATAATAATATGTATGTATTGTTGGTTAATTCGTATGAATTACAAGACGAAAAATGGGTTGGTTTGAAACTCATCTCAAACAAGACTTGTGCAGTGAGCAAGATGGATTGGTAAGGGATCAACAGAGCCTGACTCGGATATAACTGCCCTAAGGAGACATAATGCAGGTGAGAAGACGTGGCTTTGATCTATACTCCAATTTATTTTCTATTTTAAACTAAAATGTTAAGCCACTCTCCAAGACACAGAGTTTAACTGTTTAAGTGATATGTTTTGATTGTTTCTGTTCCTCAAAGATCAATAGGATACAAATTTGTGGAACTTTCTTTCCCTTCGCTGTTCTAATTGTTTAAAAATGCTTGTATATTTATGCTGAAATATTGAACTTCATTGGTGCTTCAAACATCTGCAGATTTATACCATTTTGAGAATTCTACTTTTCAGTTTGGTTTTATAATTAAGGTTTTTCCGTGCTTTTTGAGAGAGCTTAACAGCAACAATCCTTGAGCATATTAATGAGTACATTTCTCTACCTTTTAATTCTTGAATTTTAATAATCTTAAAAGAAAAGAGTTAATATTCTTTTTTTTTCCATGAAATGAAAATTGCTTTTTAGTATCTTTTGGGGTTTTAAACAGATACTATCATATTTGTGTGATACTAAAGTTACCTGAACTTAATATCCATTTGGACAGTTTGCTGAACTTAATATCCTTATTTGGCAAGCAAATTTGGACTTGGACTGGGACCACATACCAACAATATGATCATAATTACAGTTTTGAAGGAAAAATGCGTTCGTTCACATTGTATATACTAAAGTAGACTTCGCTATATTCAGTCATCTATGTGCATGCGTGTCTGTGTCTGTCTGTGGGTGTGTCGATGTTTACGTGTAGCAGCTATGTGCGCGTGTGTGCATGTCTGTGCATATGTTTGTGGGGCGTGGCGTGCATGCAGATATCAGATATTTGCTCAGACTTCTCTTGTTGTTAATTAATATTCCACATCAGTAGTTTAAACACAGTGGGTATTGAATGGATTCAGATTACATTATTTGTATCCAGTTACATCTCTAGTTTTTCTTTCTAGAAACTAAGGTGTTTACCATTATTTTCAATTTGCTTATGAACGTTTTTCTCTTTTATTATATATGTACCCTTCTTATCCTTCCATTGACTCTACAAGTCAGTAAAAGGGTTTTCGATATGTGGTATCATATACAGGGCTTATTGTTGACTTTTAAATTCACGGGACTCTGTTGTTGCCAGTAGATTTGTTCATTGAAAATTTAAGGTATGCTAGCGTTATCGACTATCATAATTCTATAGGGTACAGTAGTTCTTATAAGTCTGCCTCTACTTCATGCGGATTGTGATGTTTTGTTCGTATTCATGTCTTTCTATTTGCTATTTTCGGATATATTTATCTTTGTCCTTGTAGTTCTTACAAATAATCACGTTTCTCATTATTTTGCATTTTTTAGTGCTTTTCTACTCTTCTTTGTTGTGCTATACCAGTTAAGTGGTTCCTCTGCAAGTTTGAGTTGAATCTACTTGAATCTGAAACCAAAATAGCATTCCCTTGTAGAGTTTCGAATGTTCCAGCCACGTAATCGTTTCTGTTACTGGACATTATTGTGCCTTTTTTTAAAAAAAAAAACAAGAGTTGTCAAATTATACTTCCTTTTCACATGAAAAAGAATATGCTTCCTTACTTCCTTGGTTACTGTCGCTTCTTACAAATTTATAAGCTTTTGGCCGATACCTTCGTGTTTCGTCTTTCGAATTGCTTGCGATGAGATTGTTCACTGACTAGGTTGCAACTCAAACTAACAGAGGATTAAATGGTTCTAGATCACCATGCCTCAAGGCTGCGCAAATTGTATGGCCAATCTGTAACTTATATTCGGTTATTTCCTTCAGAAGAACCAAACTTATATTCGGTTAACGCTTAGAAAACAAATAAAGATTTAGATGGGGTTTGCCGGCGCTAGTATAACTGTAATCTCAGCTGCTACGCATGGCAAAGTCACAAGCAGAATCGAGCACATGAATCATAATGGGAGAATGAGTACATGAACCATATACTCATATTGTTTTGAAGCACGCTCAAACTCGCATATGTTCCTTCTCATGGTGCCTCCGACCCCTGATCGACTCTACTTCTTTGCTTTTGAAACACACATAAAATTTATTACTGGAAAGGCGATCATATGCAAATTCAGAAAATAGCACTTTACGACAATTCTGTTTTCTCTACGTATGTTTACTCTATGATTGCGCAACCAACTACTGGGCAACATTGTAGTCCTGAGCTCCTTGAATGGGGGGCGCAAAAGCCCAATTGGATGAAGGTTTAGTCGAACATCTCGGCTTACATTAAAATGACGAGTGCATATACTATGATAACGCTAACGACGTACGTATTTCACAAAATTTGATGCATCATGGAAGAATTTGAAAACACCGCCATTTCTCATTAGAGAGAACATACATAGGTTCTCTCATTTAAACTTGCTTCCGTGAGGAACGTTTTAATTACAAATTATGACACTCGGACGAAATTTCTTGCCACGTTTAAGTCTATCACTCTGCCATGTGGCTCTCTATACATGACACGTACACACAAATTTTCGCTCAAGTCTGCATATGAATATAGTCTTCAACTTCCATTCTCTGCAAGCAAGCGACAGATCAGCTCTGATGAAGATGAGCTGGGGACTTTAAGCCAACAACTTAGATATCCTCGTTAGCAAATTAATGATACATGTGGCGGTCATTATATTGATTTGAGCGCGCTCGTTAATTAGTAGGAAATTCTTTGCACGGCGGCACAAGAAATATCAAATCAAGTTTTTAAGGCGAGCTTTTTAGTTACTCTCCTTTGTTTGTCAAACGTAACTAAAGCTTTGAGCGCAAAATTCTATGCGTTTGAGGTCACAGACGATCGGTTTCTTAGACGGCGCGAGATCCACGTGGCCTAAATCCAATGAGATGTCTTTCACAAACATTTCCTTTCCAAGAGTGGCAAAATGAAAAATCATTAGCTGACTCTTAGGATCAAACAGTAGCCATTGGCTCATGAATTTAAGCATCTTTGATGATGAAGAATTTTTTTTTTTTTTTTCCAATTCGTCGTAATGCTATAAATGCAAGAGAGACGAAGGCGTTGAAAAGCAACTTTTGATGTCACGAGTGTGATTGCCGCCATTATTCTTGAACAATTCGTGTGGACAATTTATTCGGGACGGCTTCTGTGAAAATATTCGACCAATTGACTAAACTGAGCTTGAGTGCTCTTAATTCGTGCCATTAATTTAAATATAAAGATTCATATTTGATGCTTATAACCTAAATTAATCTACTAAACATAAGCTGTGTAAAAATGAAAGGAAAAAAATTCAAATGGTTTTTTTATTGCGCTCGTGTACTCACCTCAAATACCTCTTATTCTAAATTACTAAATGCCATTGAAACCATTTTTCTTCGACATATCTTATGCCTAGCGTAGCGGATGAAGATTTTTTTTCAATACGAAACGTGAATCTCTCTAACTGTGACTTTATAAAACTTTAAAATTGGAGGCTACCGATAACGCTGTATACTTTGTACTTAAAACATTATTAGCGCAAAAGAACCTCTAAACCTGTACTACGAAATACGAATATTAAATTTTGGGCAAAAACGTAATTATACGTTCGAAAGAATCTCGAAAACTATACGGTCGTTAAAACTCTCAGATCAAAATTTAGATACGAAGCGAAAAGAATAGGGACTTGGACGACAAAGCCACCGACTGTGATTTCAGTTTCAACGATCGAGAGCAAACCCGAGCTCTCAAACTTTGTCACGTTGGTATGTTGCAATTATTGTTAGACGGTGTTGAGCTTTTTACGTGGCAAACAATTTGATGTTTTGGATCGTGATCTCGGCAAAGTTTCTTTCAAAGCAGAGAGAGCTAAGTTCTCCTACGACCGATTAAGCCTGTCAACCAAGGTGGACTTTTGCTCAAATAAGTGAAGCTTATAACTTGAGAAGTGGAAACATGCGAGCTCTGATGACTCTCAAGCTCAAATCTCCGTCAAAATTGTTTACTTTTTGGTCTCTAATTGATGCTACAGGTTCTGGTCATGTGCATGTGTGTGATTTAAACAAATGCGAGAATGAAGGCAAACGTAATTAACGTGGCTCAACACTAGACACAGTTTCGCAATGAAAAATATTTGAATAAGGCTAATTGTAGACATTTAGGAGTTGGCCATTATTTATCCTTAGACCTTCTTATTAGCTTATCCCTCCTTTATATAATAATGAAAAATGAGAAATTGATGTCACTCTTAAAGACACCGAACAACGCCACCTAAACACATAAAATGACGACATGTGTCAATATCATTAATTTTAATATATTTTTTTGATCGAAAAACAGGGGTTATAACCCCGTTCATTAAAAAAACCAAAAACAAACAAAAGATTGTTAGTTACAAAAGCTTAGACACAAGTAGTGTCTAAAAGGTTGTAATATAGAAAGGTAGAATTTCTACTAGTATTGATGTATAACTTTCTTCTCCCAAAGATCCATGAAGGTGAAGAGAGGGCCTTGCCGTCATTCCCCGTTGACACAGATTTAAGGGAGAACCAAAGCCAGCCATACATGTGCATAGTAGAAATTAAACTTTCTATGAAACAACAAGAAAAAACATAAAAGATAAGGGTATCTAGAAAGATATTTACATCATATATAAGCCAAAATAAAATGATCCAGTGAGATATCTTCTGCCTTCAAATACTTGCTCGAGAAAGAGGAGATTTTTCCAACCTGGCTGACAGTTCTCTAGCGAAGAGAAGAAGAAGAGGTGAAGAACTGGTCGAAAATCGCTCGAAAATCGCTCAAAAAATCGCCAAAAAGCCGACGTGAAAAACCCTAAAACCCTAAGTCCCGACTTTTATAGCCTCTGCCTCGCTGAGCGAGACAGAAAGAAAAAACCACGCCAAATGTGTCCAGCACCTCCTCGAAGCTTGCTAATGATATGTATTAAATCTGAAAATGATGATGGCCATGAAAAAGGAAGAAATTAGTTTTTAAAATGAGACCAGACATGCGATGATATTGTGCATGAGAAAAACAAATGATCCCTGGTTTCTGGTTCTGAACTACAGAAAATACATATCGAGTCTCCCATCCAACCCTTAGATAAAAGATTGTCCTTGGTATGGAGTTTGTTTCTGCATAGGAGCCAGATAAAGAAACTGATTCTAGATGGGGTTTTGGTCTTCCAAGTAACTTTGAAATGAGGTGATAGGATACCTCTTTGGTTTAGAAACTGATAAAAGGACTTGACTGTGAAAATACCAGAGCTT